GGTTATTGGTGTCCCCGTGCCCGCTCCGGTGTTTTAACTGCGTGTGCGTGTCCTCGGTCCTTCCCCAGTTCTGCGAGGAGTTCAAGGAGAAGTGCCCCATCTGTGTGCCCTGTGGGCTGAAGCTGGCGGAGAAGACGCAGACGGCCATCGTCCGGCACTTCGGCCTGCAGATCCTGGAGCATGTGGTCAAGTAAGGCAGCTCGTCCCACCGGCCGCGCCCCTGCGCCAGGGAAGGGTGCCGACCTGCTTGCCACGCAGCCGCTGGCGTGGGCTCTGCTCCCATTCCAGCGCCTCCCACTTCAGGAGGCACTTTCAGGACGTGGAGGATCTGTTTGGCAGCAGAGGACAGTTGCTGTCCTGCTCTATTTCTTTCCTCCTCTATACAAGAAGAAGAGGCAGGTTGGGAGGGCTCATTCACTGAGCTCTAAGACACAGTGGCATCTCAAGATGTAAATAAACACACAGGGTTATCAGTAGGTCTTCGCAGTGTTCTCTGTCATTAGCCTCATGCTAACAAAGAGGCTTTGTATTAGTTCAGTTCTGACATCCCTCTCTCTGCTGCCTCTACAGACCTGGTGCTTTGTGCTTTTGCTGCTGCTTCTCATGTCTGTTGACCTCAGCAGTGCACGCCCGGCGGCAATTTTAACTCAGCCTTTTCATTAAGGGATTGGGCACTGCCAGAGTCAGTGAGCTGTAGCGTCTCTCTCTCTAGTTTAGGTAAAGATGTGATGATTCATTGAGAGTCAAGTCAGAGATCTTTATAAGTATTTCGACTTTGGTGTCCTTTTTCTTTATCTTTTCTTTTTTTTTAATATAAAAACTCTTTCAAACAGGTTCCGCTGGAACAATATGCCTCGCCTAGAAAAAGTTTATCTAAAGAACAATGTCATGGGCCTCATATCCAGTGTAAGTACCTTCTACCCCAGACTCTTCTATGAAACATGATTCTGTCACTTGGAGATAGAAAGTGGAAGCAAAAGGAAAAAAGACTCCAGACTTCAGAACAGAGGACCTGAATTCAATTCTGCATTTCATTACTTTCTTGCTATGCATCCCTGGTTGTTCCAGTGCTTTTGTCCATCTTGTAGTCAGGTCAATAACCGTGTCACCTCCCATGGCAGGAAGTTGCGAGGCTTGTATAACATACTTTTTCTTTTCTTAGGAGGAAATTCAGTAAATAGGATGTTCTTATCCTTTGCAAGAATACTAAAGTAATTGTTTTAGTCATGTTTTCTCTATCGCTGTGATTGCTCTTGTGACCAAGTGACCTTCTTCTGAGGAAAATCCTTTTGGTTCCCAGAGTTCACTAGCTATGGCTGCTTGGGAGGGTAGGAGTGTCGCCCAAGGTAGCTGGGATGAAGAGCTGCCCAGTGTTGTGTGTTGTTGTTTTTATTTTGTGTGGCTTAGAGTATTTGCAACTACTGTGCTTTCCAGGTCAGAACTATAAATGCCTGATGTTTGCTGTTTTGTATAACTCTGCCCCTCTTCTATCACAGGGAACTCAGAGTATTCTGGAGGAGGAAAGTCACATTAAGGATGTTCTGTCTCGCATTGTGGTGGAGATGATCAAGCGTGAATGGCCCCAGCACTGGCCTGACATGCTGAAGGAGCTGGATACCCTCTCCAAGCAAGGGGTATGAAACACACCTGTCTGTTCTCTTCTGCTTGCTCATAGTATGGGTTTCAGCCTTCCATCATCCTGAGGAAAGCCTAACTCACTTGTGGTAAGGTGAGACAAGCTGATGATGAACTCAAAAATCCCTGTAGGGTCAAGTTATTCTAGGAGATAATTTTAGCAGAGAGAGGGCCATCCTCCTGTCTTGTTTTCCCAAGGTGTGACTTGTATCTTCATGCATGCTTGCTTTCTCTCTACAACTCTGAGCTAACCTCTAGAGATTTTAATGTTTGACCTGTGTTGATGGAGCATATTTTGTTTTGGGACATCAGGAAACTCAGACAGAACTGGTGATGTTCATCCTCCTACGTTTGGCAGAGGATGTGGTGACTTTTCAAACTCTGCCTACCCAGCGACGACGAGATATCCAGCAAACCCTCACCCAGAACATGGAGAAGATCTTCAGCTTCCTACTAACTACCTTGCAGCAGAACGTCAACAAGTACAGGCGCATGGTAAGAGTCTCCTTTCCTTGGGCTCAGTGCTGGAGGCGTTTAGAAATTGGGATACAACTTGCACGTTGTTGGGGAAGCAAGTGCAGAAACTGTCTGAAATTCGTTGCTGTCACTGTGGGGTAGGGATCTGCTGTGGCCTGGGAAGCCGGTGCTGATCAGAGAGACTGGACACACAAGGCTGAGAGGGTTAGGGTTGATAGTTTGTATTTGCTAGTGTAAATGGCTTCAGTCGATGCCTGCCTCGTCCGTACTGTTGGAATGCTCTGCTGACACTAGGGGTGTACGGCTAACCAAAACAAAGGTGTGGTTGTGGCAGAAATGGGTAGATTTGGGCTAGCGTATGTAACACACAGTGATAAAGAGATGCTGCCCTGGGCTCGCATCTGCTCTCTTATGCTGCAGTGGTGTCTTTGTGGTGATGCACCAAAATGCATGAGTTTTTGATGTCTCAGCATTGCATCTGGGGCTCTCTGGTCCTTTTCTCCGTGAGCTCAGGTCAGGAAGCCCTTTTTTGTCAAGTTGTGGTGAGGAATGCTCTTCCTTTTTGTGTAAAGAGACTTCTTTCCTGAATTCTTACCTGGAGTCAGAGATGTGCAAGTTGGTCAAGATGGATGGTGAAAACAAGTCTCTACCTCAGTGTGTTCCTGTGAGAAGGAAGTGAATTTGAGGGTGAAGCACAGTTGAGAAACCAATCTAGAAATAAGTTGCTTAGGTGTATCTCTTGGTCTTTTTTTTCTGTGAATTAAAATCCAGCGTTACACTAAATGTGAAACTGGGAGGCAATGAAAAACCCTCTCCTACCTGACTTCTCTTCATTTTCCTGATGCTCTGACAGGCTGAACAAACCCAGCTGTAGAGCAGGAGGTTCTCTGTGCAGTTCATGGTGGTGGGTGGGAGACCCTGGTACATTCTGTGGTCTGGTTGAAATGCATTTCCAGGTAGGGTTTGAATTGCAGTGCTTGAGGCTCTGAAGTGTGGCTGCTTCTGCTAACGGTGGAATCTTTCTGATTGGCAAGGTTGGAGCACCCCAGGAACAAGAAGCCCTCACCACTCCACAGGTTAGCAGATCTTTGGGATGTTTGTGCACAGGGTAAATTCTGAGGGTTGGGTGTTCAGTTACCTGTCTGCACACTGAGTCTGGGGGAGACGATGAACAGTTCCCCAAGACCATAATAATCTGCAGTGCTTATATATGCTGCAGTTCTGGTATGGTGGCTCAGTTGTTAAATGTTTGGGACACAACCAGATTAACTTAAAATCGCTGCACTGAATGCACTGATGGACAGAGTTTCCAAACCAAAGCCTTGCAATGGCAAGAAATGCTTGTGGTGTCTTTGCACCTGAAAAACAAATCAAACCTGGGTGTCTGAGGGACTCATTTGCATTAGTCAAAAAGATGGTGCAAGCAGTGCATTGCTGCTGTTAAGTGTTTGGAACCGGGAGTCAGGCTGTAAGCTCTTGCCCCAGCTCGCTCTCCAGCTGCCTTTCCGTCCGTGGACAAATCACTGACCCTTTTCAGACATGAATCTTGGTGCATAAAAGCCACAAGCATCTCTCAGAGCCTGGCTTTTGGATGTAAGATGCTCTAAAAGGTCAAAACTTTCTTCCCTGGAAGCTTCCAGGAAGCACCGAAATGTCTTTCCTTCTTGTCCCCTGTGTCTCCCGGGTGCCTGCTGACTGGAGTGTCATCTTTTGGATGAGACGGAAATTGTGGCTTAACTTGTAATTCCAAGTCCTGTTGTCTTACCTGCCAGGGGGCTGTGGAGGTGGTTATGATGGCTGCAGCAATGTCCTGAGTCGCAGCCTCTGTCACTGGGGAGCTATTCTGTGAAGCTGCTTCTGGCTGCGTTCTCGAGAATAAGCCTGTCCAGCAGTGGCTGGGTGGAAGCGTGTGCTGTAGCTGCTCACTTACCGTCTCTTCTTGTTTTTTTTCAGAAGGCTGATCTGGCTCAGGAGCCAAAGGTGAGTGGAGCTGTGCGGGAGTTAATGCATTAAGTCATTCTTAAGACCAAGATTGCTTAGACCCATGCTTCTCCCAGGCTTTGGAATCTTACCTGCAATTCTCATTTACGGATGGGTTTGTTCACCCATAATACAAATTCCTGGAGAAGGGGGAAGTGAGGCACAAGTGGAGAAATGCCCAGGTCTTAATTGACATCCTTAGTGTGGGGTCTTGGACCCTTATGCTGCCACCTCACTCTCAGGGTCGTTCCTGATATTGTTCTTCCAGGGAGCAGATGGCTTTAGGTGGGAATTGGTGTTTCTCTCCAACTCTGACCTCTTGCCCCCTCTCTCTTCACAGGCCCAGGCAAACTGCCGCGTGGGGATAGCAGCACTCAACACCTTGGCTGGCTACATTGACTGGGTGGCCCTGAGCCACATCACAGCAGACAACTGCAAGCTCTTGGAGATGTTGTGTCTGCTCCTAAATGAACCTGAGCTCCAAATAGGAGCAGCAGAGTGTCTC